CACATTTGGCAAATCCGAGCGAACAATGATCGCGCGTACTCGTGGCCACGACGGCGAGCTCGACTTTTACTTTCGGCTGTCGACACATCGCTCCGAATTCCGAATACCGCCGAATACCGAGAGATTCGTATCGCTCGGAAAGGCAGGCGATAGGCCACATAACGATCGCCGGTGAAAAGTCAAGTGCAGTCTGCTGGCGAGAGAGCGACGAGACGATAAAGCTTCGGCAACGGCGATGACTCGTCGCCGAGATGATTTACAGGCGAAAAAAGGAGAGAGAGAGAGAGAGAGAGAGAGGTTTGGACGCGCGACAACGCGATGCGGTCGTCTTATTAAACGTCAACGCCCCCGCACTGCTAACATTTAGTCGGACTCGAGCGATCCTCGTAAATCACTTTCTCTCGCTGCCAGCGGCTTTAAGCATATCGAGGAGCTGCAGTCCACGTGCAGCGCAGCACGAGCCTTTTATTGGCAATTTGCAGTCCGGGATTTTCGGCGGTGCTCAACATGTGTTCCCGAATGACGAACGGTGCATCGGAGAAACGCGACTCCCGTGAGTTTTTGGTCAGCTTTTTTTGTTCCGGCCACAAAGCCGCGCTGATTACGACGGAAACGTCGCGCCGAACAATGACATAAACTCCGAGCAGCGTGAGAAGTGTACTTTGACTGGGCGAGGGGGGAGGGGGGCAGATTTGCGTGGCTATTGTGGCCAATCGGTCAACAAACAAGCCGTACGATGGAGCATGTATAGCTTGTAGTCGGAGCTGACCGCAAGGAGAACAAGAGAAACTACGAGGTTGCAATGATTTTTAGGCAGGCACGTGCATCGATACGGCAACAGCGACCGCGATCTGCAAACGTAAAAATCCCGAGATACGTGCGTCGCATTGTCGCGGCGTAATTTGACTGGGGGCCAGGCAGTGCCCGAGAGAGAGAGAGAGAGAGAGAGAGAGAGAGAGAGAGAGAGAGAGAGAGAGAGAGAGAGAGAGAGAGAGAGAGAGAGAGAGAGAGAGAGAGAGAGAGAGAGAGAGAGAGGCCATAGGTGCGAGCGAGAATAGCGAGCGAGTAGCCGCGCGGCTCTAAGCTGCCGGGCTCTTTCTCTTTTATTACGCAGGAGGCCCGGGCGAGCAGGCAAGCGGCAGCTGGCCGATTAGCAAATAGCCATTTCCAAATTGCACGCGCGCCGCCTACCTACGTCGTACCTCCAGCCGAGCGTGCGCGCGCGCCCTCTCACGGCGAGGCTGGACGAGCAGCGCGGCGGCAGCGCCCGGCTCGCTGACCAGTTGCACTTGCCCTCCTCTGTGCGGGCGGCGACGGGGCGCGCAAACCGTCCGCGCGGGCCCTTGGTCGATCGGCGCCACGGCATCGGCCGGGCCGCGCGCGCGCCAAGAGAGACTCGGGGAGCTCGCGGCCGCGTGGACGTGCCGGGGAGTGCGCTTGTGCAACGCCGAGCGTAGGTATAGCGCGCGTGTCGCGCTGCAGCGGCATGCGACGGAGAGAGCGGCGGGGCGATTGCGAAAGGGGCCGTTTCGAGATTCGCTTAATCGTCGGGCCTTGGGGGCCTAGACCCACTTTGCCGCGGCGATTGCGGCGCGCCGAGCGCGGACGCCGAGCGCGGACGCCGAGTGCTGCTCGCGACAAAGCGTTTTCCCTCGAAAATGTTCGGAATGTCGAGTAGCGCGCGCGCGCGCGCCGAAAAGAGGACAAGCCCGTGCTTTGGGAGCGCCTATTCACCTTTTTTTTTCATTGCGCGCCAACTCGCTATCTGGCAACTTGATTATATTGAAATAAGGCTGCTGATACGGCAGACGCTAGCAGTGTAATCAATGTACACACCGGCTACTCCAATGGGTTTTCTCGCGGCTTTCATCGGCGCGAGAAAGCCGTTCGGTATTTTAACCTTGCTCTTATCTGCTATCGACAATAATAAACACGGCTGATAGTAGCTTGCCGACCAAGCGAGTGCACTATTTTTGTAGTTGCGGCTCGATATATCGACGAGTCGAGGCGAGCGCTTGCAATGCGAGCAGCGGACGGAGTATAGGTGCAATTAAATTGGCAAGAGCTCTCACGCGTCATAGCGTGCACGCGTCAAAATTGGCACATTTAACCGGTCGGCCGAGCGAGCGCGCGCACTGACTCATCGATTACGTCCAATCATGCGCGCACGCTCTCGACACTGGCACTTTCGTACGAAGCGGTTGGCACTTGGAAAAGGCGCTCTGCCCCGAAAAGCCGACCGGCCGACCGGAGCTGCCTCCGCGCGACCAGGCGCACGCGCGACCCCCGCAGACCACCAAACCTACGCCGCTCTAAAAGCTCTGTGCTACCGGCACCGTTTCATTCAACCTCGCCGCGGCTCCTCTCTTGGCCTCCTTTTCTCGCTCTTTTGCCTCCAAACGCGCGTCGCCGTTTTTCCGACTCTCTGACGCTCGTTCTCCCGCGCTCGCCCCTTTTAATTAGACGGCCCAGCTTCATATCGTCGCTAGGCATACTTTTGGGGCTTCGTTTGTGCGGATTATTAGCCTAGATTTTTTTCGAGTCCTAGTTACGCTCGCAACGTTACAGGTGAGATTTATCGAACGTCATTTTTTCATTTTTCATTTTTTTTTCTTAAGCAATGTAACGGCTTCGCGATGGAAAACGTCGATTTCTCACGATTTCAGCAATAATCCGCGTCGGAATAAAAGAAACTAGTAAAATTTCCATTTCACAAGCTTCGATCAGCAGCTAAATAATAAAGCAAAACTTTCTATTGATTAATGCATCCTTGTGAGCAAAGCGGCGCGCTAATAATCCGTTGTTGCTTTTTTTTTAAAATAATGACAATAGAGCGCGAATAGAAACAAAGAAAGGAAAAATTGGCTCAACGAATTGATTGCTCGTAGGCGCCTCGTGGCAGTACGGTCCTGTGAGCGCAGAAGCGAAAGCTGTGGGTCAGGCCGAGTTGTATGTGTGTCGAGCCTCCCCGCGCTCGCCCCGCCAGAAAGTCGTTTGTAATAAAATCAATGAGCGCTGGTTTACATAATGGCAATCGAGAGTACAGCGCGCAGCAGACGGAGTTACGTTAATCGGCGCACGCACATCTCGGACGCGAGCTTCTCTCTCTCTCTTTCTCTCTCTCTCTCTCTCTCTCTCTGTCGTGCGCGCGCGCGCACGCGACTGCTTTTGCCACGACGAAATCGAAAGTGCTACGATACGCGTCGTTTTCGATTTCGGGCGCGGTCGCTCTCGCGCTGGCGCAGCAGCGCCGGTGGCGCGCGCGAAATTCGTGTCGAACCAACGTCGTTCGACGCCCGACTGACGAGCTTTATTTATCTCTCTCTCTCTCTCTCTCTCTCTCTCGCCGTCCGCTCGGGCGATTTGTGCAGTTGCGGAATTTTTGTCTTTCTTTCAGGCTATCGCGAGAGTCGTGCGTACGACGCGAGTACGAGTGCGCGCGTGTTCGCGCTTCGTTTTCATTGTAATTTATCGGTGCGGCATCGATCAATTAGCATTGAGCTCGTCGTTTCGCACCGATCGCGCGCTCGTACATTATTTTTCCAGGCATTGGCACGATTATTGCGTAACGTGTTTAGTTCGCGGATAAAAATAGTCGAGTATTATGCATGACCTACTTTTCGCTTCTCTCGAGCGCGCTCGAGAAACGGTTCGCGCTTATAACGCTCGTTCCACATCAATCTCGGATCTTTCTGCTGAATACGCATTACACGGCGGCAGACTGCGAAATGATTGTTTTATTTGTTCTCAGCGTCAAAACAAGGCGACGACGGCGACGGCGACTCCTGCCAGCCGTGGCAATTGATGCAAATGTAATCGCAGCCGCCGCGGCGAGTGGGGGAGGAGTTGCATGCAGTGCAGTGCGTCCGCAGCACGCATTTTCGCTCTTGACCTCCATATTAGCGAGCCGACGTCGGCCACGTGCAGCCACGGCTGGAAATTGCAGCGACGGGAGCGACGACGAGCCGCCGCGCCATTATTATCGTTTCGGCTGTTGCAGATGCCACGTAAGAGCGGGATCGCTCGTCGACAGGACCGACCATCGGACGATCGACGACTGGCCGAGTCCGCGAACGGTGCACTCTCCGGAGATTCGTGGCCGCAAGTCGAGCGAAGGAGAAATTGGGGAAAAGAGCCGAGCCGCTCGGAGGGCAAACGAGAATGAACGGGTGGAAGGGAGAGAAGCCGATGGATCATGATTTTCTCTCTGGTATTAAAAGCAAAGCCGTCCTTGGATGCTCTCTCCCTCTCCGACGTTGCGCGCCGCGAGCTCGCGCTTTACTTTTCACGACCTTGGGACGGCGCGTCCTTGACACGAAAAACCTATATCCACGTGCATATATATCTGTATATGTACGTGGATATTTCACCTCGCGGAGACCGTCAGGCGATCTAATGCTCGAATTGGTCGTTGAATGTACCGATGCACCGCTACTGGCTATCATCGCTGTTTTTCCGCGAGCAGCAGCGGACGCGCGACGTCTCCGCCGCGCGGCGAGGGCAAAGCTTTTCCCTTTCTCTCGTCGTCGCTCGGCCGCGCGGCTCTCGGGCCTATGCCTTTACTGCGGCGCGCAAAACTTCCGAAAGCGATTAGTGCGCCCATTGGGATCGCGAGAGCTTCTTAACGAACCGGCGCTAGCCGCGGTTTGCGACTCGCGCGAGTCGACGGCGAGGCCGACTCTGCAAAGAGAGACGGAGATAGGTGTAGGCGAGCCAGAGTCGCCGATGAAACGGCGAAAAAACGGCGAAAAAACGGCGAAAAAACGGCGAAAAAACGGCGAAAAAACGGCGTGCTGCTCTCACGGACGCGCGGCTTTATCACTGCGATGACGTAACTGCGGCGAGTCGTCGACACGCACGCTTCTGCCGGCGAGATTGTCGTACGCGAACTCGAGGCACGCCGGGCACCTGCACGCGTCGTCGCCGTCGTCATCATCGGCGGTGGCGAGGAAACGGAGAAAGCGAACGCGAACGCGAACGCGATCGCCGCGGGTACTGACCTTCGAGCTTCATGCCAACCTCGAGGCACTTCTGGAACCGGCAGAAGGGGCACCTCTTCCGCTGGGTCTTGTCGATGTGGCAGGAGCGCTCGGCGACGCACGTGTAGACCTTCTTGTTTTGCACTGTCCGCTTGAAGAAGCCCTTGCAGGACTCGCAGGTGAGCAGGCCGTAGTGGTAGCCGCTGACCTTGTCGCCGCAGACCGGGCAAAGCTCCTCGATCACGTCCTTGGTGTCGGGGAAGTCGGAAGGGCCGGGTATCGAACCGGTGACCACGCCCACGTTCACCTGGGCCCCCAGGCCGGCACCGGGCGCGCCGCCGGGGTGGCAGAGCGCGCCGGGCCCGTTGGACGCGGCGCCGCCGGCGGCAGCCTGCTGCCCGCCGCCGGCGCCCGCGCCCAGCGCGGGCGAGGGCGCCGAGTTGCCGGGGTAGCCCGAGCCGTCCAGCTGGCTCTGCGCCTGGCCGGCGTGGCCGGCGCTGCTGTTATTGTTGTTGCTGCTGCTGTTGTTGTTGTTATTGCTGGGGGCGGAGCCGGCGCCGTTGCCGCCGCCACCTGTCGGCGAGAACAGGCAGGTGTAGACCTTCTTGGTGCTGCACGACGGCGAGTTGTTGCGCCTGTAGAAGCCCTTGCAGGACTCGCAGGACAGCAGGCCGTACTGGTAGCCGGACATCTTGTCGCCGCACATGGGGCAGCGGTCCTCCATCTCGTAGAAGGCCGCCTCGAAGCCCGACACCTGGGCCTGCTGCTGCGCAGCCTGCGAGCCCTGCGACATGGACTGCTGGGGGTGGCACATGTTCGAGGCGGGGGAGGGCGCGCAGTTGGCGTACGGCGACGGACTGTACGCGTGTGATTGCTGCTGCTGCTGCTGTTGCTGCTGCTGCTGCGACTGCTGCTGCGTCTGGCTGCCGGCAGCCTGCGGACTGTTCTGGGGACTGAGCTGGAACGGCGACATGTTCAGGGATATAAGGCCCGAGTGCTGCTCCATCTCCAATAACATATCAGCCGACTGGAGGGTGTCGTCGCTGTCTCGCTGTGATAAGCAGGCGTCCGACGTCGACGTTTTCGCTATTCGTCAAGCCGGCCGCCGACTCGCGGTGCTGCTGCTGCGTCTCCTCTGCTGCTGCTGCTGCCTGCCGATCACCGCGCTACCCAACATGCGTTGGCCTTTGTGCTCGACAGCAGAACAGCGGCCCGCTACCCGTTACTGCACTGGGTTACTCTACTGGCGCAGCCTAGTCTACGGCTAATGCACACAAGTCACTGGGGAAGGGAAGGGGGCACAATCGGCGGCTATCACCAATGCGTCCGCGGCATTGCGTCGACCGGCGATCGGGAGCGAGCGAGGCGGCTGGCAGGTCACAGGTGGTCGGAGCACACAACCGATAAATGCGCGTTCGGGCCGAACGGGTATCGAAGCACAGAGATAACGGGCGAAGCACAAAAGCTCGAGGCGGCCGCGGCTGACACACTGTGCACACAGGTCGTCGTCGCTCGTTTGTTGTTGCTTTGCCGAACCGGACGGTCGAACTGAGGCGGTCGCGAGCTGCTCCGCGAGTGTGATGCCGTTCGAGCGCCTGTGCGAGACAGACGGAGAGAGAGAGAGAGAGAGAGACAGACAGAGAGAGAGAGAGAGAGAGCGAGCGCGCGGTGTGGGTGTGCTTCGCTTGCTTCGCTTGCTTCGCTGCCGCTGGTCAACGTGCGCACCGACACGCGCACGCACACACGACACAACTCGACGCCACGACGTTCGCCGCGCTACTGACTGCCGCTGCTGCTCTCTGCGGCGCTCGCTTCCTGAAGGGCCTCGCGCGCGCTCGCTGCTAGTCACCCCCCACCCCTCCGCCGGACTCCTTCCTTCCGTCCTTATCTCCCTCCTCCTGGCTCGCGCGCGCTCTCCGCCTCGGCGCTCCGTCGCGGCTCTCTGCTCCACTTTGCACTGGTAGCCGCGGCGCGCACACGCCAGCCGCGCGACGCGCGTCGCCGAGGCCCTTAATTTTCCGGAAAATTCAACGCCGGCCACGCGGCGGAGCGCAGCAAGGAGCCGCCTGCGCGTCAAGGAGCCAGCGAGCACAGAAGAGCGGCCGGCGCAGCGGAGCGCCGCAAGTGAAAGTGATTCAGCGCCAGGGAGAGAGCGACCAGGTGGCTGGCTGGCTGCGAAGTAGCGAGCCGCGTGGAGTGGGGCGACAACGGAGGGGGGCGCGAGGGTGGAGATGCCGTAGCGGGGAGCGAGCAACAGAGCGGCCGAGCGGTGGGGTTGACCTAGTTACGGAACCAGGTCTATGTCGGCCGCAGAAGTATTGTCCGCGCAACCTACCTCTCCGTCTCTCGCGCGCGCGCTCGCGAGCTACTCGCTCGTTCCCCGTGTGCGCGCTCCGCGTCCACGTCTGCATGCCCGAGCACGTGCTCTGTGTGCGTACTCTCTCTCTCTCTCTCTCTCTCTCCCTCTCCTTCGCGTTCGTAATACGCTTACGAGAGAGCCGAACGAGCTTCGCCCAACATTCTCTCTCTGTGTCGGATGGATCGGCACGTCTCTCTCTCTCTCTCTCTCTCTCTCTCTCTCCCCTTCTTTCTCTCGTTCGCTTTTTCCGGTTATTGTGCAAATCCGCTCATAGGTACTATGTCCGCTCTTTCTCCGAGTTACGCAAGCCTGTCGAACAAGTTCATTTTTGTTTTTCGATTGTCCTCGCGGATGTGCGATATTGCATTGAACGTCAAGATCGATGCTCAAATATTTGACTGCGAAAATGGAGCAGCAAGGATAAAAATAGCAATAAAAAGCGTCGTCTGCGTTAGATGGAAGGAAAATTTCAGCGCTGGCCGCTGTCCGTGCACATACATATGTATAAAGTTCCATGGAGCCGCTGAAATTTTAACTGGTACTTCCTTTTACGAGAGGCGCTCGCTCGCTCTCTCCAAAGCAACGTTGCACAAGCGAGCGGGCCCGGGCTATTGCGTACAGGCACCGTCAATTGTGTTGGCATTTCTTTTCTTTTCTTTTTTTCGTTTCTAACGCCGCAGTGACATTGAACGCTCCTTTCAAACTAGACTTTTTGCGTAATGACATAGCCCAGTGAAAATCATTTTAAATTAACTTTCGCTTTCACTTTAGACATCCTCGACTACAATACGCTTTTGCTTTGAATTAAAAATCACTTTTCCTTCGGTGTCTTATTTATCAAACAAACGATTCAGATTATAAAAAAGAAAAAACGCAAATACGTATCCGTAATAAAGTGTTTATTCCGTGGAAAACAATATTATTGTGGTAATTTGACCGACAAATTGTTCGCTTTTTATGTCAAAATGGTTTTTACTTGGTTTTACCGACTTCCTTATTATTCTTCAACTCAATTATGTCAATAAAATAGTTCTATCTCGTTAAAAAAAAATAATAATAAAAGTTGCGTTTAGGTACACGTCAAGAAGAAAAATAAACAAGGCGGACAAAGAAAAGAAAAGCTTCGGAGAGCCTACATTCCATTTTGCTGGAGAGTCGGCTAACAGGTAGTGACAATAATCGCACTTGATATAGAGAAAATGGAATGAAGAAAGCGGACGATGATACGCTGAACGCAGCGAAGACTTGGAAAGCTTCCGTAATGCGAGCCAAACTACAATCTAACCATATCCACGGATCCGTCCGAGCGGCGGCGTGATTAACTTGAGCACTCGCGCGCGCCCTTGTGAATTGTTCTCGCGCGCGATGAGTACTTGGAACGACTGCTGAGCCGAGCTTGGCGCGAGCTACAGACCATTTTTTCCATTCGACAGAACGAAAGCTGCAATGATGTGTTCGTTCGAAAGTACGTATCAGCCGTGAGTGGGTTGAGCACTCTTACGGCAAAAGAGCAGCCGTTTTCAGTGTGGCGACAATTGCCCGAGGCAGCGCCGACGACGTTATCGATGCGAACGTATGCAGCAGCGAGCGCGTCTGTGAAAATAGAAAAGCCACGTTTAAAATTAGTCAACCTTCGTTTATTAATTTCAAGTCGAGATAATAACGCGCTCGAGCTAGCAAGTTACAGAGTCAAAACTGTGTCAAGCGGTGGTCTAACGATTTCGCCAGAGGCGCTACAGCGCAACATCAGTGGCCCTCGATTTCGGTCAAAGAAATCTCGATGCGCGGCGCAAGCTCTCTCGAGGAGGATATAAAAAAAAGCGAAATCGAGAGAAAAAAACGAGAAGCAAAGTGGCGGCGGCGCGCAGTTACGGCTCGCGCGCGCCACGCGAGAAAAGCAATCTCGAGACCTTCGGTAAGTAGGTCGAAGCTTGTGCGCGCGCGCGTAAGCCAGCTAAGCGAGCCGAGAGTGAGAGAGAGAAAGAGAGAGAGAGAGAGAGCGTGCAAGAGCGATGAAAAATCCCTCGTGGAACCCCCTCGCCGCAGCTATCTGCCTGTGTCCTCGCGTCCGTTTTCGCGGTCTCTCTCGCTGTAATCCCCACCATTGTTTTTCCGAAGCCTCCGTATAGCAGCCTAGCAGAACGTCGCCAGTCGCGAGACTAATGCCTCGCTCGCATTGCCATCATCCTAGACACTCGATTGGCACGCGACGCAGCATGTATTCTCATTCATTCACTCGTTTTTAACGACTTCCATTCAACCCGCTCCAACTTTTTTTCTTTCTTTTCTCGCTTGCACGCTGGACTGAGATGGGAGGGCTGTTGAAACGAGCTTTGCATATATAACCACTGTTTACAATCGTCCAGCGAGTAGCATTCCAGGCAAAAGTTTTCGGAAGGCTCGTAAAGCTCTGGTTGCAAACAACTTTGAATTCGTTACACACATTTACGTAGGGATCTATTTCGCTCAGCCCACTTTGATACTTTGTATATGCGTGCAGCACCGACAAAGTTTCCAATTCTCAAATAATGGACTCGGGCAAAGGGGAGTCGTAGCGAGGATGCGTGAACATACATCACAACGAAAATCTAACGATAACGTTTGAATTGCAAAAAAGCTGCGGGGAAGCTTTGCAGGCAGAAATAGACGACAAGTATTTAATAGAGAAAAGAGCTGCGGAGAGAGAAAGAGATTTTCTCTGAGCCAAGAGGGTAGCTCGGGTATAAATCATCCCTCCTGCCCTCCTCTCTCGCTTCGCCGGAGGCGATCGATTCGACGGCCAAACGCGTAGACCGGCGAGATCTCAACTCGTGCGCCAGCGCGCTGCCCTTCTACCGACATAACTTCAGCCCAACCGAGAGACATCGTACTACTAGTAAATGTCGACGAGAGAGAGAGTAAAGCTCCGGCGGATTTTTCAATTTTCGGAAGGACCGTGGTCTTTTCAGTCGTGGTATCATCGTCCTCATCGCTATGACGGTCGTTGTCGTCGGTCGTAAGACGGTGCGAGCGCCGTCATATTTTTACCTACGTCTTCCTTTGGATTAACGGACTCGACGTCGCGCGTTGGAAGTAATAAATAAGCCGCGGAACATAGCTCGAAGCTCGTCCGTGACGCGGCGGCCCAACGGCTCGGGCTTTTATCCGAACATCTGAATACCATAAGCGCATTCTCCAATGGTCTCTCGTAGTGGTCCCGAAAAGCTCGCATCGCTAGTGAATTACGTAATACACGTGCCTGGATGCCCGTCGAGCTTAGCTCGTAACTACGGGGATGCACGCGAATGCTCGTCGTGAAAGTGGCGATGTAGCTGCTGCCGCCTTCCGCGCGAAAGACAGTAACGAGCATGGAATGACAATAGAGGAGGGCCGGGAGACGAACGAGCGAACGTAGAAGAACCGAAGGAGGCGCGTCCCCATTGTCGGGCATTCTAATAAGCAGCACGCGAGCAGCAAATTATATAGAAGACAGAGCGAGAGATCAAAAGCAGCGATAAACGGACGATGCGCCGCGGACGCCCGCGATCCGATATCTCTCTTTCTGCTCCTCCATTGATCTATTGCCAGGCTCTCTCTCCTATCTGGCTGTTCGCCTGCGTGCGCGCGCGTGTCGCGCGCGGCCTTCTCCTCCACTGTCCGGCTCTCGCGCCACTGCCCGTTGCATCCGATCGTTCACCACGCATTCAAAACAAATATCAGTGTCGCACTATTTTCGGTATATCCCCGTGATGCGCGAACAGCGAAAATAAACGTGACCGAGCCGACGCTGTGCAGGCGGCACTGAAATGCTACTCGGACAAGTCGATATCCAAGTAGGTAGCCAAGAGGAAAAACTTACTCCGAAAATACCCAGCACTTCTTACGAGTAAGTTATCTCCAAAGAATTATGGTGAATTATGAGGCTGCGTGATAGGCGCACGACCATTCTAATAACCTATAAAGATAAATAACGAGTCGTGTAAAATTCTCTCGTAAATTAACCCTCGAAATAATGGCTCGCAAAGAAGTGGCAATTGATACGGAAAGGCCGAGCTTCGTTAATTCAAAGGCCAAGTGCGCGAAGAAGAAGAAGAAGCAGAAACAAGCGTTGTCCAAGAGGCGCGTCGATCTCGCGTAAGCGAGGCGAGCGCGTATTACCATAATACGTGGAAGAGCGCGCCGAGCGAGCGAAAGCGAGGCGTTATGCCACGGCGACGGCGTCGCCATATCTTACGCGCGATGAAAAGGAAAACGTGGAGGAGCGAGCGAAGAAGAAGCGGAACGGTGAAAGTGCCAACGAAAGAGAAAGGAGCCGTGTAATAGCGTTGGCACTCCTCTCGCTCTACGAATATCAAGAATATCGTTGCGAGCGCGAAGCTCGATATTATCCGATTAACGCCGACAACGTCTTCGAGCTGGTTGCACCGAGTCCACCGCGAAATCTATCTGCTATTCGAGGAAAGTTTCAAAGCGGCTTTAGATTGCCTCGGTCGTGCATTCACGCCTTCGTTTACGCGAATGCACGCGCACGTGTGTCGACGCGTACACTGACGGCCCGTTAATTACATATCCCCGGCATAAACCTTACAGTACTCGCGGAGTCGCTGAATGTCACGTGGCTTACCGAGTGTGCACCGCTGCCGAGGTGCTCGCCGGTTCGCGCGTACATGCGCACGTAGCGCGACTTGATTTACGTGGTACAAAATATATGTATGCAGAATGTTTCGGTTCGCAGGCGAGCGAAACGAAACGCGCGGCGAGAGAGAGAGAGAGAGGGGGGGGGGGGAGATAATAAACAGAAGAAAAGAAACGGCGGAACGAACGTACAACGCCCGATTACAAGCGCGATCACGAGCCTCTGCAATGCCAATACAATATTGATCAGCGAGCCCGAGTCGATGACAACATGTCGTTAGAAACGAGATTGCCAAAGTGGCTGATTTTGGTGGGCGAGCGCACGCGCAGAGCAGCTGCGGGTATACAACCAACTAGCAGGCGAGCTGGAGTTTGGTCGATGATCGGATCAAGCGGAATACAAAGCGAGGGACTAATTATTGGAAAAATCGCGGCAATGGCGCTAGGGAGGAGTAGGTAGCCTGGGCGAGCGCGAGAGAGGCGGCGGGCTCGTTAACCGGCGAGATCGAGTGCGCACACGAGCAAAGGGCCACGTGCAAACTGTCCGCAGGCACGCACACACGCGTGCGGCGCGGCACACCACCCCCACCCGGTCTCTCGCTCCGCTCGACTCGAGCCGAGCCGGCTCCCGCAGTGGGGAGACCCACTGACCCACTTTGCCAGCGCTCGCTCTCGCGCTCTCTCGCGCGGAGCATGACGCAGCCGCGCTCCTTCTGATTACGCGGCGCGCACGTACACTTGCACATGCGCGCGGGCGCCGAGCGAGCGCTGGCTCTTTGTCTGGCGCGGGCGCGCGCGAGTGGGACGAGGACGGCCAGATATGTGGAGCGTCTCTCGCTCGCTCCACCTATGCGCTGCGCCTGCGCCACTCGCGCCCTTTATCACGGCGCCGGCGCGACACCTCCTTGCCTGCCTGCCTGCCTGCCTGCCGCCGCCTCGCTTTCTTTGTCTCTCGTCCGCGCTGCACCCCCGACGACACCACTCTCCCTAATTGCGTCCTTTCTCAACTCAGCCCACTTGCTCCATTTCGGCGCGGGCCAACACTCGCCACCTCGCCCTCGGACTCGATCAAGCGCTTACGGCGGCCCGCCTTCCCGTTTGCCTCTCGCCCACATCTCGTTTCGCACGTTGTACTTTGCACCCTTTGGACTTTCGGCGACAACGTCAACGAGATTCTTTTCTAATTGGGTCAACGCTCGCGAACCAACAAAGAGGGAGAGGACAGAAATTCCCCAGCTGTCATAACGTATCGCGTGAATCATTGTAATTTATGCGGCGCTCGTATGCGTGCAACGAAAACACGTCGCGTACCTCGTGTACTCGCGCGCAGGAAATGAAAAGAACGAACGATAAAGGTATGCGTGAGCCGCAGAGGCAGAGAGGTAGCAAGAGAGCGCGGGGGCGAACCGCCAGTGCCCTTTGTATTTACTTTGCATTGTGTGCCGCGTCACGTCGTGCAATTCGTTCGAAATCATTCCGAAGCCCGGCCCAAGGGAAAACGCGAAAATATCACGCGAAAAGCAAAGGGACAAACGCAAGCGTCGAATCGGCGAGATGGCTCGTGTGCGCGCCAAAGCGTATTATTCAGTTAAGAGCACTGATTATTCGGAAACTCGCAGAGTATACGTGCACACGAGGTATGTAGAGCTAGTGGAATGACGACGGACGGCCGAGGACGGGCTCTCGAGGAATATTCAATCTCGGACAGCTGAGCGACCATCTCGTCCGTTAATGATCATTTTTAATCCCCAGTCGCAGCTGAGCCGAGCGAAGAGATAAGGCCAGCGATTAGCGAAGAAGAAAAAAGTACAGGATTATACGTGTACAAGCGTTGGAAAAGTGCGAGAGAGAAGAGGGAGAATCGAATTAAGAACGCGACCCTGGCATCGAAAAGCTAAGCTAAGCGCGTGCATATAAGCGTACACAGACGGCTCGCGATTCCACTGCAAGGGGGTAAGAGAAGCAGCAAGCGAGGCGTG